TCAACAACTGCCTACTCTGGCTCGTTACTGAAGATCAGATGGCCAGAATAATAGTAATAAGCAACAAGGAACTCTAGCTGGCTGGCAACGAACCAATGAGGCAAGAACCTATTACTCAACAAATATACAGAAGGAAGTGGAGATGGATTGGATTGAGCATACACTGAGATGACCATTCGGGGACATCACGCGCTAGGCCAGGCCATCGAGTGGAACCCAGATAGAAAACTACTAGTTGGGCGTCACAGCTGAGGGTGACATGGAGGAGATGGTGTGAGGAATAAATGAAAGCTTGTGGGCTGTCATAGAGCCTGGTCCAAAAGATTTCAGAGAAGAGAGTGGAATTGAGACGTGCTACTGAAGCCATATGTTCCATTAGGAACCCAAGTGACAAACAATAATAATATAACATCAGGTCACGATAGCCATTTCTTGTGTGACATGTACAGTTCTAATGTTGTTGCTTGTAGTGTCCCGTCGTTATGTGGACCGAATTAAGTCCACATAGCAATAGAGACTGATCAATTCGGTTCAGTCAACGATGAGATAATACAAGCAATAACATTAATACTGCAACTTTCGTACAAAAAGTGACTATCGTGACTCGCTGACCTGCAGGATAACGCTGTAGCGTTTGAGGCGAGTCTTAGTGGGAACGACATTGCTCACTGACAGGCAGGTACGTCCATCTGATGAGCATGAAATGAGACGAAATGTACCTTCTGGCTTTCACTGCTAGCCCTTATTAATATATAGCTGGAGCACAGGCAATATCGAGGCATTCGTGCAGGAGCCTAACTGCCAACAGAGACCGATCAATTAGGTTCAATCAACGATGGGATAATAGAAATATAGCTGAAAATAAATAAGTTAGTACAAAGATATTCAAGTCTTATCATTACTTACGCTTTGCTTGTCTTATTATAGTTTATATCGCTTATTCTCATTGAAAATGCTAAAATTTTATCACATGTTGCAGTCATAAAATGCATCAGGGCAGTGCAAAAGCAAGGCTAATACATTTTCCAAATGGAATGTGAGTTAGAGACTGTAAGAAAATCGAGTCTTCTTCTCTCCAAACTTGTCAATATCACGATGACTTAGATAAACAGATGAATAATGTGATGATGGACAAAAGAACAACGAATAAAGAAGAGAAGAGTGGCATTCAGTTCACCTTTGATGAATCTTATTGGGACAACTTCAACTATGTTGAGCAGGTGTTGGTGAGTTATACAAGTGGTAATGATTTTGGAACATTATGCAATACGTTGAGAGTTGTATTAGCCTCTCCGTGGTGCCGAGTGTTTACCAGGTGCTCTAACGTTCATCTTTTCACCACTTTCACCTCACCACCTCCTGACCATACTGGTAAATGTTCTCGTATGTGGAGATATACCTGTCTAATCATACACTGTATGTAACTTGTTCCATAGGAATAGCTAACTTCAATTTGGCGGTTTGTTAATTTTAGGTTGATACTCATCATGGAGTGATATCAGCTGGAGAAAGATTAAAAACTTGGGAGGACTGGATATCTGTTTCCTCCTGATATGGAAATCTTCAGCACTGCACACCCGTGACCCCACCCGTCACGGATCGAACCGAGAAGCCTGAGTTTCTGCGGCCAGCATGTTCCTACTGGGTCACAATGCAATAATCAAATTGATTTACTCAGGATGGCTTTACAAGATTAGTTAGGTAGGTTATCGTTTAGTCTAGGATTGAGGATTGACATATATCAATCTAATTATTCCTATGGAACAAGTTACATAGAGTGTATGATTAGACAGGTATATCTCGGCATACGAGAACATTTACCAGTATGGTTCGGAGATGGTGAGGTGGAAGTGGTGAAAAGATGAACGTTGGAGCACCTGGTAAACACTCGGCACCACGGAGAGGCTAATACAGCTCTCAACGTATTGCATAATGTTCCAAAATCATTACCACTTGTATAACTCACCAACACCTGCTCAACATTGCTGAAGTTGTCCCAATGAGACTAATCAAAGCTGAACTATGCATTCAACAGTGACATGTTAGACCGTCATGCCATCACATTATTCATCTGTTTATCTAAGTCATCGTAATATTGATAAATTTGTAGAGAAGAAAACTGGATTCTCTTACGGTCCCTAACTCAAATTTTATTTCGAAAATGTATTCGCCTCTAACTTGGTTTATTTTTACTGTCTAACTGAATAAAAGTCAGTATTTGTTAGCCTAAAAGACATATGAACGAACTAAGTATATTCTTTTGAATGACTTCTTCATGAGATCCTGCAGTTAGACCCCGATATTGTGTAATTTCGCGTCAGCAACGTTCACTAATACCGTTGTACAATTTATGAATTCTCTTTAGGAAAGTCTTATATGAACGGTAATATCACAGTCCATCATTACTGGAATGCATTTCAACATAAAATTTTATCTCAATGATTATATGCCTTATATGAGGAGGAAATGAACTATATTCACTTCATTTATGATGTTCATATGAGTGAAGCCTACTGTAAATAGGAGGTGAAATGAACTGTGGTTGAGTATAAATGTAAAGTCGGATAAACAAAGATAGTTTATCAAAAAGCGATAGGAGAGTGTGCATAGAAGTTAGCTGAGAAAGACATAGATGAATAATTTGATGGATAATAGCTTACTAGAACGGTATTTATGTTAAGGAACAAATTAGATTAGATAAAAGTTACCTAAAAGAATATTTTATGCAAACACTGGAAATCACCTAGACTAGTCACTGAGTGATGCAGACATGTGTGATGAACATGACATCATTGTTAACTACTTCAATGTATAAATATCGATTAATATACTGCTGTTTAGCCAGGTACATATGCACACTACTCATAGGAAGATTGTCCAATTTGAATGTTAACACATCGTAGCAAACCACTCTATAACTCCATATTATAACACTTGATTAATAACGGAGCGCTGAATGGCTGTTTCATCCTAACGTGGGACTCCTCAGCAGTATGCACCAATGACCCAGCTACGGATAGAACTCAGGACCTTCAGGTTTCACTATGAACGTGGTAACTTAAGATATGGTCGGGCTGAGTATATTGCTTCACAGTTTCCAACTTCTGTCAATTCGTCATATAGCAAGACTATTAGCCAAGGTCTTCAGTTGGCATGCGTTTCACTTCCGACTGGTTGACCCAACAGGTCATGGCTTTTCATTAGAACTTCGGGATATCCATCTGGAAGCATGTCGGTAATGAGCACTGCACAATAGTGCAGTGTGAGGTTAAACGGAAATGAAATCATTTGGAGAACCATTGTAGACCTGGGACCACTGGACAGCTGCTTTCCCCCCCTCTAAACTTCAAAATACATTCGTGGTTGGTCCTTATTAGTGACATGCTTCCAGATGAATATGTCGAAATTCTAATGAGAAACCGTTACCTAAGGGGTTAACCAGTCAGAAGTGAAACAGATGTCAACTGAAAACTTTTGTTGACAGTCTTGATATATCGCTAATTGATAGAAGTAAGGGAGTGTGGCCTGTTGTACTCCAATCCATTGGTTTAATTGTTAAGGTATCCACCATGAAACCTGAAGGTCCTGAGTTCGATCCCTGGTATGCGTACTGCTTAAGAGCCTTTCAATTCTCCCAGGTTCTCAGCGATTCTCCAAATGATGCCATTTCTTTGACATTTTGGTCTGACTAACCAGATTTAAATGGAATTATACAGCTGTAGACGACGAGAACACTGTAAAGAAATCTACTCACAGAAGTCTTTATTCGCTTATACCTAAATGAGAGTATTTCAAGCCAACAAAAAGTATTATATCTATTGCTGCATACTACAGCTAACTGATTTGTGAAGATGTGATTGACACAACTAATTGATATATAATCGTATCACATCTTAGGGTGTTTATAAGCGAGTGACTGATTGACTTTTAAAGACAAGTACAATTTACCATTGATCTAATCATACTCTAGGAACGACGAAAAGCATGTACTACTAATGTCAAACAGTCTAAAATGTCAGGCATCATTTGATCAAGGTATATGTTAGACATGAATAGAATATATACATTCTAGCTGCAAAATACGTGATAATTACTTGTAAATAAATAGTTACTGGTCTGACAGAAATGTCTTATTGCAAACACTATTTTATAAGACTCATGTAAAATTTACAAAGATGATAATGATTGTAACATTATTTCAAGTTGTTATTCATCGTAGACTGACATCATTTGGGGGAACAGAGGAAACTTGAGAGCACTGGACAGCTATTTTGTCTTACTAGTATGGGACTCCTCAACAGTGCACACCCACGACTCTGCACCACCAGGGATCGACCCCGCGACTTTCAGGTTCCGCGGCCAGCGCGTTACCATTGAGCCGGTGGGTCACAGTTCAATGGTCCAAATTTCCAACTTCTGTTAGCTCCCTGGCGGGGTCGTGGGTGCGTACTGTTGAGGAGTCCCAAACTAGTCAGACGAAACAGCTATCCAGTACTCCCAGGTTTCCTTTGTTCCTCCAATTGTTGTCAGTCTAAGATGAATAACAACTTGAAATATTTCCAAATCTCCACAATTCCCTCAAAATTCAATGTAACATTGTTGATCGAAAAAATAAGCCTAAGAGTTGTAATTAAACTCTAATAGTCCAAAGGAAATAAATTAAGAGAACATTTATATCAGTGAAATAAATGGAGTCTGTCTGAAAGGTATAATGTATGATGGGAATATATTCCAAGTAATCTGTTCCTACAGATATCATAGTAACGTGGAAGAAAGAAGATCTATTGTTCAGTAAGTTCAAAAGAACAATTTCTATATTATACTATTGTATATATGTGATTTACATAGACTTAAGACAGCCATACTATACAGTAAAAGTCAGCATCATGAAGAAAATATAAACCCTTGGAGAATTTCAACAATATCGATCTAATCCAGTCGCTTTTGTCACTCTATGTATAAAATTGGAGGATCGATTGATCTATACGAATAAGAGCAATGGAGTATATTCAACAAATTAAATAGTATGATCCCACCGACCTAGGCAGTTGGTGTTCAACATTGTCATTGAAACGGGTTACTAGGTTGATCTATGTACATTTTTCAAACCTATTCACAGAACCAATTGAGGAGATTTACTTAGGTTAATTGAAGCTCTAATTGTAAGGAAGTCTAGACGTCTTTCATATACTCAATTCTATCCTGTTTCGTATCGATGATCTTTCTGATTGTGGTCGACTGGATCATGCAGCAAACTGTGAGGAGTGAGAAGACGAGGATACACTGGCTGTACCGATAAAAAGACCCTAGAAGAAGATTTAGACTTCTCTGATGATGATTTATGTCTAATATCGCACAAAACTGAGGATCTACAGGTGAAAATCAACAAGTTGACAGAAGAGGCAGGGCAGCGAAAACGGGATTTCCTTTAGGTGAACATAGAGAAGATAGGGGTGATGAAGATACCCGACCAACAACAACAACAAGTACCAATCACCATCAGTGGAAGAAATGTGAAGTAGGTTGTCTCTTTCATCTACCTACCTAGGCAGCATCGTTTCAACTACAGTCGGGGCAGACGAGGACGTCAAAGCCAGGACCGGAAAGACGGCAAGACAGGCTTTCATTGATCTGAAATCAATGTGGAGATCTCCTCCACTGCACTCACCATAGAAAACAAGATCCGGATTTTCAGCACTAATTCAGTCAAGCAATTCAGTGCTTCTATGTGATGGTTCACAAACTTGACACATTACGAAAAACACTTCCAACAAATGACAGACATTCATCAACAGCTGCCGCCAACACTCACTGGATATTGACACTGAAGATCAGATCAGATGGTTAGAATAATAAGAATAAGCAAGGAGGAACTGTGGCTGGCTGGCTAGCTTGCTGGCTGGCAACGAACCAACCAGGAACCCGTTGCTTAACAAATATGCGGGAGGAAGTGGAGATGAACTGGATTGGGCATACAATAGGAAGGCGGATTAGAGATATCACAAGCCAAGCCAGGCCGTCAAGTGGAATCTAAATGGGAAACGACGATTAGGGCGTCCGAGGCGAGGGTAATATGGAGGAGATGGTGTGAGGAAGAAATGAAACCTTGTAGACAGTAGTGGATCCAGGTTGAAAAAACCTCAGATAGCAGAGTGAAATGGTGACCTGCTACTGAAGCCCTATATGTTCCACCAGGAACCCATGGGACAGATAAATAAAATATGATTGCTTGCTACAATTCATATGAGTATAGACGACAAGTAATCGGTTGACGTCCTCTAGGAATGGATTACGTGCATTGATTAGTCACTGGAGAGCAACCAACTTCATACAGTTTAATCCTCAATGCTGACTGAATTCTGTTGGTCATTTAGAAATGCTAAGTCTTCTAGCTTGGTGGCTACATTGAAAAATGATGGATAGAATTCGCACAGCACTCAGGACCAGACAACATGAAATTGGTTGCTCTCCAGTGATCAATTATTGCAGATTGTTTATGCATAACCTAATGGCCTATGCGTTACTAACCTGTCACCAGATCCTAACTTCACATCAATCATCAAAGGTCTTATTCCGTCGCTGCGTGAATCTGTGCCCCATAAATTTTCGTTCATGGTAATCATACTGAATATCCAGTTCAAATCCAGGTGAATTTTAAAGGATGTCGCATCATATTGATTGTCAGTGTGATTGATGATGAAATGAAAATCTAGGTCATGGCACGGTTTAAATAAGTGGCCTCTGATTTACTGGCTCATGGTACTCCACCACCAACTGGCCTATGACACTCAGCTGCTGACCAGGTTTCAATCTCCATTTTCTTTTTAAATTGTTTAAAACTTTATATGCTTTTCACAAAGGATTGAAGGTAAAGAAAAAATTTAGACCACCGGGCCTAGGAACCCAGTGGTCACTGGTTTCTAATCCATACTATATTATAGTCTTTTTTAAAATTGACTTTCATTTGAAATTCATTATGAACTGATATCACTCAAAGGAATATTAGAAATTTGGAAGTACTGGACAGCTGTTTCATCCTAGTATTGAACTCCTCAGCAGTACACAATCATAACGTTATCCCCCAAGGATTGTACTTAAAATCTCTAGTAACCATGATCAGTATGTTACCCCTTTAAGCAACTTAGGTTGGAATCTAATAGTTCATACATCCTACTTCTATTAGTTTACAATATAGAGTGATCATCATTGAGTATTTATTCTCACGATCACTAAGCTGTTTATTACCTACAATAAACTTGAAAATGTCTCTTTTGAATCCTTTATGCAATACAAAGAAAGAAAAAAATATCTTAAAATGGAAAACTTTTTGAAAAGTTATTCACATCATCATCATCATCATCATCATCATCAGAATATGAATGTAAACTAAGTGTTTTTTATTTATTCAAATATGAGAATATTTTACATTATATTACATATTTGTTTGTGTTTCATGTAGATTTGTATCTATACTATCAGTGGAGACAATAAAGAATACATCTTCTATGGATTGTACTTCATCTTTTGGTGGATAATCTGGATTATGAGGATCATAACCAGTTTGTTTATTTTTACGGAATAAATCAATTTTTTTATAGATTACTATACCGTTTGCAGAAATTAATATTAAGAAAATAATGAACCACTAAAAAAAAAATAAAAAATAAAATAAAATAAATAAATAAATAAATAAATAAAGTAATATAAGTGAAAAATAAACAAATGTTTAATTAAGATATTGGTTAAACAGTGAAATCCAGGTGACATATTTCATTCTACTTGGAATTCACTCTTCAAGTGAATTTACTTATATATCCCAGTAAGAATTAAACTTAAAATATCCTAGATATCATTGCTAGACAATATTGAAGTATTCATACAGGAGTCTATATGCTAGTATGAACTGATCAACCATAGTAGAATACAAGTAACAGTGTAGTAGGCGTTAATGATTAGAATGGATATAAGTAGTATATACTGAGAGATGGTGGACAATAATCATAGGGAATTATCAGCAATGAGTAAAGATTCCGTAAAGAGAAAAGCAAAAGACAAGGCAAGCGTATGAAAAGCAAATCAAGAAAGAAGCAGAAGAGGAAATGAAGCATATTTTGCAAATGATAGCTTTAGTGCAAGGTGTAGCATATATACGGGACTATTGTCCCACCTGCATACCGGTTTATTTGCTTCTTTCAACAGCATAAAAATCAACCATCAAACAAATAGTGGTTACTATAACTCTTAGAAGCAATCGATCCAGTGTTCGAGTCTCATTGAAAACTGAGAAGCGAATTCATCCAACTGACGTGTCTAAAATAGGTTAAAACATATGTCTTGGGTTCCATTGTCAGCCACTACCCATCAATAATGCCGACAAAATCAGGCATCCGCTTAGTAGCCCATATAACATTAATGGTCTGTGATTTGGTCAAACAAATGACGGAATAATGCAAACACACAAGAAGTGGATATCGTGGCTCGGTGGTGTAGTGAATAACGCTCTAGGGTTTGAAGCAATCACTCCTAAGTCCGAACAACATCACTCACCCTGAAACAAGCACGTTCAGATGGCAAGTCCCAAATAGGACGAAATGCGCATCCTGGATTCCACTACTAGCCACTATCCATCATTACTACCATTAGAGCACCGGTAATATCGAGGCATCCACAAAGGATCCCACATGCCAATAGAGACCGATCAGTTCGGTTCAATCAACGACGGTATGATATAAAAAACAATTATACTAATAACATAAATCGTTATAAAGTCTAAATTTCTTACCTCAAGTAATGTTGTCGTCATAGAGTCTAATGTAATATGATACCAATAGGGGTTAGATCTTATCAAGTCATAGGCCCACCAAATAATCAATCCAACTCCACATAGTGGAACTAAAACACTTTGGAAGAGAAAAAAAGCAGCATATAAGTATATGTACACATACATGCTTCATCTCATTATAAACCTAGATATATACACTAAATTCGGTCAATAGTCATATGTATCATCGAATGGCAAAATGCGCATCCTAGATTCCACTGCAAGCCACTGCCCATCATTACTATACATAGTAAAAAGACAGACAATATCGAGGCATCTGCACAGCAGCCCATATACCAACAGAGACTGATCAATTCGGTCCAATCAACGATGGAGTAATACAACCAATAACACTAAAGATTTCTACATTGTTTCATTTCTTATATTATAACAAACATTTTGGAGCCTTTATATGTATCAAAAATGTAATGAACAAATCATTTTCTTCTCATTCATCTGTTTTGAGGGCATTTAGGAGTCGTTCTAAGACGACAGGATTCTTTATTTCTACCAGCAAAACCTTTTTTCATCACATATTGAACTTCTATATTGAATGGATCATTTAACTAGCTATTTTGTTTTTAGGAAACAATATTTAGAATAAAGTAAAGCCTATTGAAGAACAGTTTAACTTCTGTGATGAAGCGTTCCTTGACTATTTCACTGGAGTTTATCATGAATACTAGTCAGGTTTCTATAGTGACATAAAAGTGATGTAGAGTAAAGAGAATCATATTCACCTGAACATCTGGTTACATAATTTGTTTTATCATGACGATGTATATCTCTAACTTGAGCTGAAAAGTATTCCATCATTTGTTGGGGTTATCAAGTGAGTTTATTTTGTATTAAGTTGTGGTCAATTGGTCTAAACACTTTGATTTACAATTGGATAGGTAATAGATTTGAACCCACCTCGATCTATAGAGGTTTTGCTTTAGCCAACTAGCCGTCACAATAGGCATGGCAGACTACATACTATAAGAACGTGCGCAGAGTTAAGTGCATTTCTACTATCCAACTTAGCAACTAGTTATGTCGTTTTATCAGCATTTTACATAATAATAATAACAGCTGTATTAAATAAAAAGTACCAATGTTCAGTGCAGATCTGAAGGGCAAAAGCTAACAAGTTGACAGAAAAGGTAGGGCAGCGAAGACAGGACTTCAAGTGAACGTAGAGAAGATAGAGGTGATGATCATACTCAACCAACGCCACCACCACCAACAACAACAAGCTCCAATCACCATCAACGGGAGAAACTTAAACGAAGTAGCCTATTTCACCTACATCGTCCTAGGCAGCATCGTTTCAACTACAGGTGGCACAGGCACAGACGAAGACATCAAAGCCAGCCAGGATCACAAAGACAGCAAGACAGGCGTTCATTATCCTGAAACCAGTGTGGAGATCTTCTGCAATCAGCATGTGGAACAAGATGCCTATTTTCAACACTAATTCAATCAAGCCAGTGCTTCTATATGGTTCAGAGAGTTGGCGCATTACGAAAAGCACACCCAACAAACTACAAATATTCATCAACAACTGCCTACACTGCCTCGTTACTGAAGCTGAGATCAGATGGTTAGAATGATAAGAATAAGCAAGGAGGAACTGTGTCTGGCTGGCTAGCTGGCTGGCTGGCAACGAACCAACGAGGCAAGAACCTATCACTCAACAAATATACAGAAGGAATTGGAGATGGATTGGATATACACTGAGAAAGCCGACTGGGGACATGACGCGCCAGACCAGGCATTTGAGTGGAACTCAGATGGGAAGCGATGAGTTGGGCGCCACCGAGGTGAGGGTGAAATGGAGTAGATGGTGTAAGGAAGAAATGAGAGGTTATGGGCAGTCGTGGAGACAGGTTCAAAAGTGTGAGGAGAACAGAGTGGAATGGACACCTGCTACTGAAGCCGTATGTTCCATTAGAAACCCAAGGGACAAATATTAATAAAATAATGATGATAATGTTCAGTACGACAGTAATGTTGATACTCTCAAAGGTAAACTGTATAATAGTACGAAATATGTAGATCAAATTTATTTTGTAAAAAAGATATTTTACAAACCTTATCATAAAAATCCAGACAATAGGAAGTTTCCAATCACCAATTCCAAATTCATTGACAACAACTCTTCTATATTTCTTTGGACCATAGATCAATACTAAACCAGCCATGGCAAGACCAGATAGCATAAGTGCAAAACCCCATACATTATCCTACAAAATAAAATCAATAAACAAGTCTTAGATATTTATCCAGTTTGTATGCACTATAGATTTATTTACAATACTTGTGTTACATACAGTAAGAGATGTAAAACTGTTGCAGAGATCCTGAGGAAACGACTATCAAAATCCATAAACAGAACATACTTCGCCACCAACATTTGGATAATTCTCTCCTGCAAGAAACTTTTCGGTCAATGTGCGAAAGACAAGCCAACGCATTGGGCTACATCAATGTTTGTATACCAGTTTACTTGCTTCTGTGGAGCTCAGTACATCAGCCGTACCATGCATCTGCTTGTAAAACGTGTACGCGAACACTACCCAATCTGGCTTGCAAAGGAAGAATGGAAATGCATCTTCAGTTCGATAACAGAACATCTCGTGAACTCAGACCACTTATCTCCTATCGACAGCTCATTCAAAATTCTCTACAGGTGTCGATTAAACCACTTGAAAGGAGTAAAATCAAAGCATCTGTCTATAGCTGAAGCATTAGCCATACAGAAGTTTAAACCCACGTTATGCCTGCAAAAAAGATAAGTCCAACATTTTGTCTTTGCCATTGCCATCATAGAGCCTTGTCTGCCATAGATTCATTTCTGCCTTATTCATTTTTCTACTCTGTCATAGATTTAACCTGCATTACTTAATCATAGTCCTATTTTCATGATCCCCTGTTTACTGTCATACTCTGTCATAGGTATTACATAATTGCAATTCTATCTTCATAACCCTTCGTTCAGTTTCCTACTTTGCCAGACATTCATCCTGTATTACCTAATTACATTTAACTTCACAATCCCCAGTCTATTTTTGTCACTGTGAACACAAATATGTATTACTTAACTTCTTTTCGTTATTCAATATGTTTTGCCCACTGACGGGAAACAATTTTGTAACATTCTACCCATTGTAATATATATTCACGAATGTACAGTTTAGTAAATGACTTAGTCGAAAATAAAAATTTTTCTTCGCTGAAACCACGTCTTGTTTTTTCTCAAGATGTAAAGCTGTAAAATGATAATACATGCTCCAAAAGTAATTGGATTACAGATAAGCAAACAGAAAGAGAGGTAGATAGACAGACAAACACAGAAAGTCAACGAAAAACTTCACACAAGTTAGTTGGCTGGAGGTAATTGGCAGGAAATCCTGGACCCAGGTTTCATGCTTTTTGGCAATCGTCAGCAAGGCGTATCTGCAACCTCGACGGAACTGATGTCTCGCCTGACGCCTGAACTCGCGCCACCCAGTGTTGTAGTCAGTGACTTTACCACTGAGCTATTCGGGCCGCGATTGACCTCCTGTGCATCGGTTCAACCTTCTACAATTCATATGAAGACCGGGTGTATAGATAAGCTTGATACGAAAGTTAATGAAGGTGGATGAGAGGGGAGGAAATTTAAAAATTAAGGTTAGTCAAAACTTTTAGGCTTACAAAGAAATCAAAGAGTAAATACATCTGCACCATAGTGACCAATTTTTAGCGATGTTAACGATAGTCAAGGACTACCTCAACTGGAGCCATGTCTTGGTATGGCCACCTTGAACCTTCATCCAGCATAACCCAGCTTCTCTTTGGATGGCACGTCAAGGTGGACAGCGGCTCGGTAGGCGCAGTACATGTACAAGCCATGTCATTTGACTTAGTTTCACAACCTCATCGACTGACTTGCTTTCTTTGTCTAATACTTTTCGTCTGACTTCAATACTGCTCACGTGGTTGTTTCACGAAACGCAAGCCTTGTTACTTTCAGCGGCCGTGTTACAGCCGTATAACAAGACAGAACGAACTGCAGCGCAGTATACTCGTTCTTTGATAGATAGCCGGATATTTCGCTAGTCGGCGACAAAAATGATATGAGTTCCTAGTGAAGATTTCTTCCGCGCTAATGTAACTCTCTAAGTAAATGAATCGGTTGACACATTCCACCACTTCACTGTCTATACTTAAAGTGGAGGCAGCTGGAGACCAGTTCTGTAGCATGATCTTACATTTGACAGGTGTAAAACTTGTGCCAAACATACTCAGATTTCTATTCAACGTGTTCAGAAAACCCAGTATCTTCACCACCAAGGAGGACAATATCATCCGGATAGTCAAGTCAATCAGATGTCTTCCAGGGATTAGATCCTAGTGAAGATAGACGTATCTGAGGTTAGATTAACCAACCGAAGTACTTTTTGTTTATTAGTTTAAAGCACATAATTCCAACACTAGGCATACAGCTGAGTAAATACAAGATCATTTATTGTGAGTCTTTAACTGACAAACGCTTCATAGCAGACAGCCTTATAATATAAATTTTTATCTATAATTTAACTACAGAAGAGTTCATAACTGATTACTTATCTGGCAGTCATAATATCCTATAATCTAAGTTCATGAAATTCTGCATAATGTACTTTAATGTTCACATTTTCTTTGCTTTGCTTAACGGCTTATTTCAGCCAAAATATTAACTACAATGCAGATCATATGTTAGAAAATGGGTTATCAGAGTTTCCTTAGCTGTCAAGTTTACGAAGATATATGCAGACTTACAGCAGTTTTATGTGTAGATAAACCTAAAGAGAGATTGTAGTGTATGCGATATACATGATTGACTGATATAACTGGTTGTAAGCCACTGACATACCTGCTCATGACGGTCACCTTTGTCGGTTAGAAGCAAAGCTAATTACTGGTATACCAAGAAAAAATATTTTCTAACAACTGGATTGATTCAACCAAGTGAGTTACTGCTTAATGCTTGAGCAGACCAGTGATAGATTTTTATAAAATACACTATCTGAAGTGAGAATACTATGACTAGTTCAGGTGTATTATCGAGAAATCTTTTCAATCCATCCATTCAAATCAACACAGGACCGGGCATTACTACGTAACGGTCCGAGTTGCCGCCACACCTCGTATCAGCAAGTCAAGTAAAACGACAGTGAGGTGCAAGATGAAGATGAGAAAATTCGGTCAAAGGAAATATAAAATACTAAAAGAGAGAAAGGAAGAATGAGAAAATGGTGAGATTTGATAAAGCGTTAAGATGAGGATAATAAGTGTATACATCCGCGCCACTGACATCAACTAGAGTCTCCACCCATAGGTTCCTCTTGTCCCGCCGACCTCAACCACTCAGTCTGCATCGCACCACATAGCTCAAACCAACAGTCAGAGACTTCATGCATTGGTGACATGTTTTAGTCTAGCCACCTCAGACCACTTTCCAGCCTGGATCTATTTTGCCCAACATTTTGTGACGAGGCAGTCGGCGACTAGGCATACGTAACACGTGTCCCAACAATTTCAGTCGACGAAAATCTTTGCAATAACGGAATGTGTTGCATAAATGACACTTTTGCAGTTGGTTGGCATGGCAAATCTACTAGAAGATCGCCTAAGTATCACACTTGAAGAATATACCAAATTTATAGGAACGATGAGCAAGTTATGTGAAAGCGTATATACAGTAACTTTAATCATGGCAAAAAAAGTATTTGGACGGTACCAACGACATTGGAAGGAATGAGAGGAGGGCACCCATTCAGTTCGCTGGGTGTATCCCCAAGCATTTAGGCTTGAAAGGAAGTTAAAAGCTAAGTAGTAAAATTCTCAGACATCTCATAGACACACAACATCAACTTGAAACCACAAGTGCTTTTAAGATTATAAACTTACAGAGAATGTCTAGAGTACTAGGTTTCGGTTTACCGATTTCGATAAAAAGCTTTCAATCTGACCGCTGCATACGGAAGGAGAGTTTCGTTAGTCTTTCACTCCCTTGGTGAATATGATTTGTCCCTTATTCATTAATTAGTATTATTTTTCCTTTCTTACATTTATTGCCAGTTTGTAACTAATTCTCTAACATATTTGAAACAATGGGATCGCTAATATCCCTAATCGTAGAAGATATACTTATGGACAGTTAAGAAAGCATGGATTCACAAACGTTTAATCCTGCATTAAAGGGTTGGGGTTAGGGTGAGAAGTCTATAGCTGATCAGATACGTCAACTAAAGCCACTTTTAGGTAAGTCTGAATTGTTTAATTTAATGCCTAGAACTAATCATCTTAACAGAACTTATCGTGCTATCAAGGTTCATAAACCAGATTATCCCATTAGACTCACTCATAGTTGACTTCAGAAATACCTCAACTCATGGACTAACAGAGTACTAAGCATCGATATTGTGTCCTATTAGAAACAGTTCAGACTCCAAACTGGTAAATCCTTACAACTTAAAACTAAGGCCCACTGACCTACATGTTAGTTTCAATCTAACAAATCCTTATACAAAAATACTAATCAATACAGCACTGGTGACGGTCAGAAACCAACTAAATGTTGACTCACAACTTACTCATAGAACTAAGACATCGGTTGATGAGATCATATTAGGCGTACAGTTGTACCTCACCTCCACAGTCTTCAAGTCTTAAAACAGAATGTGATCGCCAGTCTCTCCAATCCTAGCAGATATTGGTAGTTAAGAAAGCATAGATTCACAGACGTTTAATCCTGCACCTAAGATATGCTGGTGATATATGGATGACACATTTACTGTGTTGAAATCAGAACACATAGACAATTTCCTCACACATACCATGAACTCAGTAGTGGATGCAATCCAGTCCACTTACGAGGAGGTAGAAAATGAACAAGAAAAATTATGTATGTTGGATTGCAGGATAAAACGATGGAGAGATGGTGGTTTGGACACTAAGATCTACAGAAAACTGACACATTTCAACAGGTATCTAGACTTTATGTCATCTCATCCAATGTCAGTCAGTGAAGGCGGGTTTCATCAGATGTCTAGATAATAGAACTGGAAAACTCACTAGTCATTGTAGGAACGTAAACAATGGATTGAGGCACATAAAAGAAGCGTTAATGATTAATAATTATCCTCTATCGAACAAACAGGAAAGGAAATAATAAGGGTAACACGAATGCGAATAATAGTGACAACATGGGAGAAAGGAAGTTCAAAGCCTCTCTGCTGTTTCACCACCTAAGAAAGGTATATCAGGAACCTTACGTAGGATTGTCGACAAGGCTGGAACGAGGGTGGCATTTCAGCCTACAAACTCACTCACAGATCAAGTTTGTCAGCTGGCTTAAGGATTCGATAGAACCAATGAAGCAACATAGTCTACTCTATCAAATTCTATGTTATGACTATAAAGTCAAGTATATAGGTCAAACTAGCAGGTCGAGATCAACTACATTATCGGACCATAGGAAGTTATTTAAATAAAGAATGAAAGACACTAATATGATCAATAATCTAGAAGAAATCTCGGCTATTGCAACGCGTACAATAACCCACAACCACACAATAGGACGGGTGGGATAAAACCAATGTACCTAATTAAGTCCAATGTCAATAGGTGAAGAGAGTGATTAATTACTGAATCTTTGTTCATCGAATCAACACCTATTACACGTAATAGAAATGATGCAACACGTACACCAGAGATATGGAAAATAATACTGTATCACTGCGTCTTATTATTTTTTTATTTTTCCCTTGGTTTCCTATTAGAACATAGGGCTTCAGTAGCACGCCTCCATTCCACTCTCTTCTCTGCAGTCTTTTCAACCTCGCTCCACCACTACCCACAAGCTTTCATTTCTTTCTCATACCAACTCCTCCTTGTCACCCTCCACTCGGACGCCCATCTCACTGTTTCCCATCTGGGTTCCACTACAGTGCCTGGCCTGGCCTGGCCTAGCTCGTGATATCTTCAATCGGTCTTCTTAGTGTATGCCTAATCCAATTCATCTCCACTTTCTTCTGTATATTTGTTGGGAGATGGGTTCTTGGTTGGTTTGTTGCCAGCCAGCCAGAGTACCTAGTTGCTTATTCTTATTATTGTGGAGATCTGATTTGACCTGCAGTATGGAGTGAGCGTAGGCGGTAGCTGTTGATGTATGTCAGTAGTTTGTTAGAAGTGCGTTTCGTGACGCGCCAATTTTCTGAACTATATAGCAGCACTGAATCCAGCGCATCCTTTAGTCTTTCCAGGATGGTGCGGCTTAATAATTTGCTTGCGGTGGACAGCAGCATGATTCCACGCCAGTTCTTGCAAAGACTTAGGCTCCCTTCTTCGGGAGTTTGACAAGATAGCCGTTCTTCCAATCAATCGGCAGGTACCTTCCCTTCCTTCCAGACCTTCTGCAATAGTGGTGTGAGCATGTCCGCTGTTGTCTCTGCATTTGTTGTCAGTGCTTCTGGCGGGATTCCATCTGGTCCTGCTGCTTCACCAGATTTTAGCAGTTTTATGGCATTCAGGACTTTCGTCGGGGGGTTTGTATTCACTAGTAATTTTGTGGCTGGGCTGCAGGTGGTATTTCTAGACGAGTTGCAGGTAATGATCGATTCAAGAACTTTTTGAAGTGATCAGCTCATTGTTTCTTTTGTTTCTCTTCTTTGGTAATTACGTTTCATTCATCATCTTTTATTGGTTTCATCTGTACTGTGTTGATCTCTTCCCAGATAGTAACTTGGTTATTTGATACAATGTTGTCAGGTCTCTCCTACCTGCAGCCTGTTCTGCTTCACTTGCCAATGTGTCGTAGAAGTGACTTTTGTCTTTGCGCTCACTCTTCTTAACTTCTTTGTCCAATGTAGTGTTTTATACGTTGTTCATCCTTGCACTGAATTATCTTCTGCCTCACCATTTTCCTCTCCTTTATCAGCTTTCGTGTGTCTGTTGAGATCCATTCCTTGTCTTCTTTCTTCTTCCTTCCTAGTACAGTTATGCAGGTTTCCTTCCACATAGCTTTCAAAGAGTTCCAGTGTTCATCCACACCCAATCCTTCAGAGATGTTGCTCAACGTCTCCCATTTTATTCTATAAATCTAGTTCTTCTTGCTTTATCCAAATTTATTAACTGGATATAAATGCATGAAAAAACGTTTATAGCATATCTGGAAATATACTCAAAATGTACCGAAATTCAGGACAGATGTTTCGTCCCATTTAAGTCTCGTCAACTAGATGTACCTAGTTATCCACTAGGTCGCTGAAGAAAAATATGATTAGTTAAGTAATAGTGATATTTTGTTTTGAGCTTACTTGATTTGTTAGAACATTTATACTAATTGCAGAAGGTAAACCAAATATTAACGTAAGGAATAAACCAGCGAAAGCAGCTTGTCGATGACTTACTGAAATAATGAAAAAATGAAGGGAAAAAAAATCATGTCTACTATGAATATTTGGTATACAGATATACATTTTCTTTTAAAATTCCTTTTATATGCACACTACAAACTGAAGCTAATAGAATATTTTTGATAAAGTAAACTATTTGATATTTAACAAGTAATTGAGTGATATTTATTGCTTGATAATGTTTAAATAAGCTAGTCTGGTTAATAAGAACATTAATCAGTGGGACAATTTTGAGAAACAAATTGACAAAAGTAAATGTATCGGTTATTACAAGCATATATCGGTCCAAGTCCCCAGAACCTATAATCGCATAGACCGACGATTCCATATTCCTTAACAGCCATGTGATATACTAAGGTTTGTGATTCACAGGGGAATACGAAGAACGTGTCTTGTCTTATTTATTAGTCGACTGCTTCAACATTCTTCATCACAGTGTGTTAGGATATGATAAGTGAGCAGGCAAATCAGAAGGCGTGTAATAAAATTTCATAGCGATTTCCAAGACATCCACACTCATGAACTCCCACAGTATCACAGTCGACGTTTACTGCTAAACACGGAATATCTACACAGGTGGATCTATTAAATCTTCTTAGTGCATCTTACTCATAGTAGACGAATAAAGCGAACCAAATTGATAGAAGTAATGTATGACTTATTACAAGTATACATCAGTCGAAGTCCCCAGAATCTATAAGATGACAACGAGAGAAAGAATAGTGTGATAAAATGGGATGAAAGATATAGACGGTAGTAACATTTGGTGGTAACCAGTTAGAGGAAACAAACGAAAAAAAATATTATGTTGTGAAACTGTTAAGGTATCTTTTAGTGTACTCCTGTTTAAACATGAAGAAAGATGATAGAAACGTATGGTCCAGTTGTGAACTTGTATACAGTACTACTTTTTTAAATCAAATTTTTCATTCGATACATTTTCCCATTTTGAAGTTAATACAGATTTCATCCCAGAATGCTGTTGTTTTCCTCCTCAGCAGTAAGAACTCACGTCACCATTTATCAGGAATCGAAATCAATACGCCTTCAGATTTTATAGTGAATAATTAACTATACAGTCACTAGGTTGGGAAATTCAATGATTCACAGTTTTCTACTTTAGTTTATTAGCGATATAGAGAGATTACCATGAATGGAGGTCATCAATTTTGACGACTGGTTGTTTAACCCCATAGTTTATGGTTTTTCATTAGAACTTCAAGATATCCATTTAAAAGCATCTCAGTAATAAGCACAATAGTTCTCCAACTGATTTCACTCATTGATAAATACTATCCTATCAAAACTATCATTTAACATAACTGTCGATTACCAAAAGGAAATGAGAAAGATCCACATTTTAGCAATAAATTGAACTGAGAAAAGTTAATCTATCACATTAAAAAATTTTTAGGTGAAAGTAAGTTTTTTTTAAAAAACAAAAAGAAAAGTTATTACTGTTTTGTTAATAATCAATTCTGTATTTTCCTTCACTGACTAAATTGATATAATGCTTATTGTCAAAGAATAGCTGATATTTCCATCTTATTTCTCTACGATATTACTCTGAAAATTATATTCTTTCCCCATATACTACTTATTTATAGTGGCTGATTCACGCATACAGCTTTTCTAATCTATTTTGTATGATGCTATTTGTACAAAGTTCTTGAAACTGTAAAGCTGAATAGATTCCCTAGGACTGAAATATTTTGTAGTCCGCTGACATCTCTCTATGCCTATGTTAACTATGTCGATACCGGAAGGCTATTTAACCTACTGGTCTAATATACTTAAAATTTCAATATCTAATTTTAACTGTATTATTCTTGTAGAAGTTTTAAGCTTAAGTATGATAGTATTCTTGACCAACAGTTGTTTATAACTAGTAATTACTCCACCTTGTATGTAAACCGAATTTTCTTACCGGTGGATTAGACAATTCCCACTAAATTAAACATTAAGCTTGCCTGCCTGTCACCACTGTGGTTGTATTATGCAAAAAATAATTGTCACCATATCTTGTGGTGCTGTATATTGAATATTTTCCTAGTAAATTTTTCTGCCCAATTTATTCGTGATTATCACATTGCCATAATTCACAATACTGGAATTCTCTTTTGTCATACTTGGTACCTTGAAAAGTAAAAGGTGAATGGGAGTTAGACATAGATATTACATATGTCTATATTATCTCTTATTAAAAGTTTATCTTTCTTCCATTTGTTCATTATTTCATTCATTAAAACTATATATTTCAAGTGATTTATTAGGTATTTCAGTAAATAAAGAAAGTTTTGATGAAAATTTTTTTCATCTCTTCACTTCTCTAAACAATAATCTTCATTCCCAATTTATTCTATAACAATTTAGTATCTCGATTATCTTCAGATGATCGGATTCAACCGTAAACTAGTAAACCTTGAAATTAGTACTATGAATATTTGTAGCAGATAGTTTTACATTGATGAAATTCAATATATTCCATCTTCTTTGAATAATCCATCTCTAAGGTTGTAGTACAATATCTTGGTATCTATGATTTACTTCTGACTGATTGATTGATTGGTTAAATTGTTGTTCACCTAAACTATATATATAATAGAAATGATAAATAGTTTATTAAACTTACAGCCTAAGTCTTTGGCTGTTATTACAGTCAATTGAACATGACCAATGAGTGAAGTTATTCCAGCGAAGGAAAGGCATAGAAAGAATAAAGAACATAAAACTCTTCCAAAACCACCAACATATGCAAATAAGACAGGAATCCTATAATAGAAGAAAAGAAAACATTATCTTCCTAATTGACATGAAACAAAAAGTAAAGCAGTACTAAAATAAAATCAAATAACTATTCAAAAGTAGTAGTAATGATTATACTACTAATTTCACTTGAGGTTGGATATCATCTATTAATTCTACTAAGACACACTGACAAGTGAAGCAGAACAGGCTACCGGCTGCAGGTAAGAGAAACCTGACAACATTATATCAAGTAACCAGGTTACTATATAATAAGGAAGAGATCAACACACATGAAACCAATCAAAGAAGGGAAACAAAGGAAACGATGGGGTGACCACTTCAAAAAGCGCTTGAATCGACCACTTGTCCAGAAATACTACAATCAGCCCAGTCACAGAACTACAAGTGAACACAAGCCCTCCGACCAATGTCAAAGTCCTGAACTCCATAAGGCTACTGAAATGAGGTAAAGCAGCAGGACCAGATGGAATCCTGCCAGAAGCACTAGGAACAGACGCAGCGACAACAGCGGACATGCTCACATTACACCATTATTGCAGAAGCTCTGGAAGGAAGGAAAGGTACCTGATGGTTGACTGGAAAAATTAGGCCGCATCATCCTGGAGAGACTAAAGAATGTGCTGCATTCAAAATTATGATCGGAACAGGCCGGCTTCAGGGAGAACAAATCATGTAAGGATCAAATTACAACGCTACACTACGCATCATCATAGAACAGAGTATTAGAATGGCAGTCAACTCTCTACCTCAACTTCATCGATTTTGAGAAGGCCTTTGACAGCATCGACCAAGAAGTAATTTGGCAGGCAGTTGCTTCAACACTACGGAATACCACAAACTTTTACCAATCTCATTCAACAACTATATGAAAACGCCAAATGCCAAGGAATTCATAATGGGAAGCTCAGTGATGCTTTTGAAGTGAAGACAGGAGTAAAACAATGCTATCTACTATCATCTATCATCTTCCTGGTTGTGGTCGACTAGACTGGATCATGCAACAAACTGTGAGGAGCGAGAAGATGGGCATACGCTGGACCACGGAAAAGAATCTAGAAGATTTGGATTTCGCCAACGATGACTTATGTCTGATGTCACACAAACTTGAATATCTACAGGCGAAAACTAACAGGTTGACAGAAGAGGTAGGGTAGGGTAGGGTAGGGTAGCGAAGACGGGACTTCAAGTGAATATAGAGAAGACAGAGATGATGAAGACACCCAACCAACGCCACCATCACCAACAACAATAAGCCCCAATCACCATGAACGGGGAAACTTGAAGGAAGTAGCCTATTTCACCTACATCTACCTAGGCAGGCAGCATCGTTTCAAATACAGGTGGCACAGGCACAGATGAGGACGTCAAAGCCAGCCAGCATCAGAAAGACAGCAAGATAGGCGTTCATTATCCTGAAACCAGTATGGAGATCTTCTGCAATCAGCATGTGGAACAAGATGCCTATTTTCAACACTAATTCAATCAAGTCAGTGCTTCTATACGGTTCAGAGAGTTGGCGCATTACGAAAAGCACTCCCAACCAACTACAAATATTCATCAACAATTACTTACACTGGCTCGTTACTGAAGCTGAGATCAGATGGCGAGAATGATAAGAATAAGTGAGGAGGAACTGTGGCTGGCTAGCTGGCTGGCTGGCAGCGAACCAACCAAGAATCCATCACGCGCCAGACCAGGCATTTGAGTGGAACCCAGATGGGAAGCGATGAGTTGGGCGTTCGAGGTGAGAGTGAAATGGAGTAGATGGTATGAGGAAGCAACGAGGGCTTCTGGGCAGTCGTGGAGCCAGGTCCAAAAGATTGCAGAGAATAGAGTGCACTGAAGACGTGCTAGTGAATACGTATGTTCCACCAGGAACCCAAGGGTCAAGTAATAATATGATAATGATAATAATAATTTGTATTGAACACTTGACTGGTAGGCAGGAGTGTTTCAGTGTTATGAGATCTATATGAGTAAGCTTAAAATAGTTAAATTATTGATGGGTCATTATTCATAGAGTAACTTCTCAGAAAACTAGTCTTCAAAAACCTCGATGTTCTTAAAGACGATTTATGACTTTATCAATAACCTTGGCATATTATAATTGACTTAGATGTGACTATCAGTGGGATTTAGGATGCACATTTCGTTCTATTTAGGACTCAATCGTCAGTTAGGTGTACCTGCATCCTAGTGCGGAGTGATGTTGTTCCTACAGCTTAAAATGCAACAGCGTTATCCACTAAGTCACTGAGGCACGATAGCCAACTCTTGTTCAATGGGTATTAGTTATTATTATGGTTTGTTACTACTTATAGATCCCTACTGTTTTACTGGATTGAACTAATCGACCTCCGTATCAACAGCTATATTAGTTGCTACTGTTTCTGTTGAATACAAATGACAATAAATGTTTGCTTAAAAAAACCTTCTTTGCGCAAAAGTTATAAGTATGGCATAAATTTATTTCAAGATAGTATTCATTGTAAGCTGTTTTATCTTAGTAGATGACTCATCATCAGCGTACATCCACCACTAAAATAGATTATTAATTAGTTGAATTTTTTGTGGCGATTTGGAAATATTTCAAGTTGGTATTCATCGTAGACTGACATCAGTTGCTGGAGTCCTAGTATGAGACTCCTCAACAGTGCTTACCCACGACCCCGCATCACCAGGGATCGAACCCGCGACCTTCAGGTTCCGTGGTCAGCACGTTACCATTCAACCTCCACTGGTCACGACTTCTCATTGGAACTTCAGGAATCACCTCTTGAAACTAGTCACCAAAGAGTACCAGTTCAACTGAATTTTTTGAGGGAGTTGTGGAGATTTGGAAATATTTCAAGTTGTTATTCATCGTAGACTGACATCAATTGGAGGAACAAAGGAAATTTGTCAATGTATCTGATTACTTTGATAATCCTGGTTAAATTAGATTGTTGGATTATCATTACTTCACATTGAACAATGAAATAAACTTTCTCTCACACTTGACACCTAATTCATAAACTCATCTCCAGAGAAATTTATTCTGATTACTACAATAATTTATTCTGAATATAGAGAAGAATAAAAAATAATTACTTACCAGGTAAATGTTAAACCTGTACTACCAGGTCCATTGGATTGCATAATTTTTACAATACCAGAACGTGTTAATGTTGGTGAAGTTTGTATTAAAGTTGAAAATACAGTTGAGAAAATTGTCAATGCACAGAGTAGACTAGAAGTAAACATTACAAGAAAGGAGAGAAAAAAAGAAAAAGCGAAAATTATTGTAACTTATTTTAACAAGTAAAATAAGTTGAAACAAAATATATAAAAAAAGGGTTTATTTTTTATGAACATATTGAGTAATTTTATAAGTATTTATGTCTAGAAGGCAAGTAATTCAGATATATGATACCGGAGTAAGTTAAATAGACAGATTTGTTTTAGAGGAGATAAACAAAAGGAAATAGTTGTCATCATCTTGAAATAGTACATGACTGAAAATCAAATTACGCACCAGGCATTCGAGAGGAACCCAGATGGGAAACGATGAGTTGGGAATCCAAGGTGAGGGTGACATGGAGGGGATGGTGTGAAGAAGAAATGACAACTTGTGGGCTATTGTGGAGCGAGGTTGAAAAGATTGCAGAGAATAGAGTGGAGTAGAGACGTGCTACTGAAGCCCTATGTTCCATTAGGAACTCAAGGGACAAATAATATAATATAATAATCTACATCTTAGTTGGCAGAGAAATCAGTGTTGAACACGATGTTAACTGAGGGTGGTATGATAGTAATAACAAACAAGAAGAACAACAGCTAGGAGGCTTTTATTATATTGACTTCATTTGGTTGTACCGTATTCCTACGAGTTGAATAGTATTTAGGCTAGACGAAGAGTACCAGGCATGGCAGATAAGTCGATTGATAAGGTTGTGAACCTCAGTCTACTGAGGTGGCTTGGACATATCTTGCGCATGTTGTGCAACCACCTACCTCGACGTGTCATACAACAGGAAGTTGGATTACATTGGAAAAGGGTTCACGGGGATCACACCAAGACAAAGCACCAGTCAATGAAGTCTCTTATTGTCCATTTGAGGCATGTTAAGAGATGTAGACTGGGGTCACTGAGATGATAGAATTCAGTGTTTGAGGACTTTTGTTGAGATGGATAAAAATTAGTGACAATACTGCTGACGTCTTCTAAAGCTTCAATATCTGCGGTAATCTTTACTTTCAAATTGTTTTTTTGTCGGACAACTTTATCTACTTTGATATCAGTCTTTTTCTATCCACCTGTTTGTTGTGTATTAATGGGAATTGTGGTAACTTGCACCAATTCACCTATGTGCGAAGCTCTATGTTGATTTTGTCAGTTAGTTAGTTAGTACTAGCCTATATTCATCAGTAAAATCAAGACATCTGCACTGTAGACCATTTACCAATAGAAACCGACCAATTTAGTCCATTGAACCACCCGATAATACAAACAACATTATAATGGTAGATTTTGACAGATATTACTTTAAAAAACGACTTTTAATACATTTCTAGTGGGACATGTTTTATTACTTATATGCGTATATATAAGATAATCGTGGTTTAGTAGACTAGTATTGACACTAGGTGAAGGCCAGATTCGAACCAGCAACCACTGGGTTTCGGGCCCGGTGCACTACAATTAGCTATGTCGGATAGTCAACATGAAAATCAATGTGATGATCCCCCTGTTTAACTCAGATTTGGATTAGCATGAGAAGTCCTGGCTAGACAGCCGGTGTGAATATGATCAAGCGATAGTAAGGTGTTACGAATTCAAATAGTAGTGTGGAGAAACCCTTGATGAGTGAAGTGAAATAAAAATCTGGACAGCAATCGAACTTTATAGCTCGATTGGTAGAGCATCAGGTCAGAAACCTGGTGGTCGATGGTTCAAATCCGCCCACCGTCCAAATTTTCAAATCACCTTAAATCATCTACGACTGTTTCCCATGATGATTTAGTATATTTCCTACAAGAAAGAAGTCAGTGAAAAGTAGTTTGCTTTTCGTCTGAGTCATACATAAAAACAACAATCATACTTCCTGGAGTGATATCGGTTGGGGAATCATTAAAATATAGGGGCAGTGGACAGATGTTTCGTCCCAGTACGGGACTCTTCAGCAGTACGCACCCATGACTCGGCTAGAGATCAAACTCAGGACCTTCAAGTTCTACGGGGAATGGGTTGACCATTCAGTAATTCACAATTTCCAACTTCTATAAATTCACGATATAGAGCCGTGAAACATGAAGATGTTGAGTTCGATCCATAGCCAAGTCATACTGCGCGTACTGCTGAGGAGTCCTATACTAGAACGAAACATCTATCCACTGTTCCTAGATTTTCAATGGTTTCCCAACTGATATCAGTCTATGATGAAGACTACCTGTGAGTAAAAAAACATCTCCAACTATCTCAAAAATCGATAAATAGTTATCAAATATTGATAAATAAAAAAAAAGTAAAGGTATCATTGATATGTAAAAAAGAATAGCCTTTTCTAGTTGAATAAGAATTATTTATCCTATAGAAAGGATAATTATTGATGAAATTGATGTTTGAACAATGTTTATATAACATTTTATTATGTCATTATGATTACTACTTTGAATTATTTGAGCTTATTTTCATATTGATAATATTTTCCACTTGAATAAAGTTTTGTATTGTGTTGTACTATGAGCAACACTTTTATTTCTCTACTAAAAATCTATTTATTTTCATGTGTACTACATTTTTGTTACTTAGTTATTATTATTTTTTCTTTCTGTTATTTTCTAACGAATTGGATTATGTGAACCAACTAACTGAAATAGTAGCTAAGGTATGAGATGGAGTGAAACTTACGGCGTCAATAGATTTTGTAGACTAAATATGATACACGGATACGTGGAAAACCATGCAGATAAGAACAAGTATAACTTCACTGGATGATATTGAACTAGGAGAAGCAGGAGGAGGCAATAACAGTAATAATAATAACAATAATAACAACATAGCATAACAATGAATCCAAATAGGCAGCGCTAACTGATTCAATGATAAAGTATCATAGGATTATATGAGATTATATAAAGAACTGTACTACATGATCTATCATAACAATTAGCTATAAGCTTCTCACTATTTTTGTATTGTACTTCATCATTATTTTATTCATCCCGGTAGTGTGAATACACTCTCTATAGACTGATGTATATAGAACTAACTTCTCTACCTGTAATTCATTGTTCTAATGCCTCTCCTCTCTATTATTTCAATACATGATGTACTAATTCACTATCATGCTCTATTGGTGATAATTTGTTGTTTATCGTATTTCAAACCCCCCTTTGACTCAATCACTCTTCTACTATTGACTATAAATTTAGTTCAACTATCTTTTCAATCATCTTCAATATGAATTTTGAAGGAGTTGTGGAGATTTGGAAATATTCCAAGTTGTTATTCATCATAGACTGACATCAGTTTGAGGAACAATGGTAACATGCTGGCCATGGAACCTGAAGGTCGTGGGTTCGATCCCTGGTGGTGTGAGGTCGTGGGTGCGCACTGCTGAGGAGTCCCATACTAGGACGAAACTGTTTTCCAGTGCTCCCAGATTTCCTTTGTTCCCCCAACTGATGTCAGTCTACGATGAATAACAACTTGAAACATCTTCAATATCTTAAGAACTATCTATATTAGACAACAGTATTGGTTACTAGTGTATGCATTAATTGACATAATAATCTAGGCTAGTTATATGATTACTAATGAACAAGACTACCTAATCAAATTGGTTTAGCAGAGTGCAAAAAAAATCATCTTCGTTTAGTGTGGATATTAGGCTTACACAATTATGAAATAAATGTACTAATACTTTACTGGATTTTCATATCTTCTACCTGAATACTGACTGTTTTGTCTTGTATATTCAGAATACTTCGATTGGACGGATTGTTAGTAAGTCGTCGTCGTCGTAGTATTAGTAGTAGTAGCAGTAGTAGTAATGGTTTTTTTTAAAATATACAGAACACATGATGTGTATTTTTTGGTTACTTCATATGTCTGTCCACAATACTGCCCAAAAAGACGTGAATATAGTCTGTCCTTTTATTATTCTCTCTTTCTCTTTGCTTCCTTTCTAGACCTGCTTTCTTTCCTACACAAAGACACGTGATCCAATCAAGGAATAAAATGATAACTTATGTATTCAACTAACAAGTGAATACAATTTTATTCATCCATTGCTTTACTTCATACTTTATGATTAGAATCTATATTGAAGAAAGAAGAGAAACTAAAATAATTCGATAAAAACATATTTCTCATGTGATTATGTTGATGTCGATGAGGCTTGACTGGATAACTAATGGTCTTGATATGATTTAAGTTGGTTGATTGATATGATCCAATGCGTGAAGATGAACTTAATCTTTATATTACTTACTAAAGTCTTAATTTTCATTTGAAAGATTTGCAAAAGTGAGTAGTATTATACCTTAACATAGATTTGCTGCTCAATAGTAACACTATTCATAAGTAGGATAATTTATTATCTACTTCTCCTTATCATAAAAGCAGTAGTAGACCTCCATTAGCCTTCATCTGATACTAATTCCTCAGGCTAACCAATGACCAACAGATTTTTTTTTGAGGGAGTTGTGAAGATTTGGAAATATTTCAAGTTGTTATTCATCGTAGACTGACATCAGTTGGAGAGGAACAAAGGAAATCTGGGAGTACTGGATAGCTGTTTCGTAGGACTAGTATGGGACTCCTCAACAGTGCGCACCCACGACCCTGCCAGGGATCGAACCCACAACCTTCAGGTTCCGCGGCCAGAGCGTTACCATTGAGCCGGTGGGTCACAGTTCAATGGTCCATATTTTCAACTTCTTGAAAGACCAACAGATTTATTTTGGTCTATACTTCAAATTCATTTATCCTAACCTTTATTCTTTGAATAATTCTTCAACTATTGCTTAGATACCACAGTTGTAGGCTATTGGTTCAATTAAAATGAAATAGCTTACCTCACCATATTGTTACACAATGGTGTTATAGTACCAATTCGTACAGAACCATTTCTTCGGCTAAAATAGGCAGAATATGAAATGAATAATGCCATAGCTGCACCAGTATCGAAAGCATTTTGACTTGCAGCAGCAACCCATAAACTTGGCGTAAACATACTACCTAAAGAAGAAAGGATGAAAGATTTCAATATTCATCAAAACTGAAATAGTGTATGCTTACAGTTCTACTACTAAGCATCTAAATTCACATACAATTAGTGAATAAAAAAACCATAAAATGATTTCGTTATTAAATGATGTAACCTGCTACATTCATAAATCTTTAAACACATTGCATAGGCATCAACTACAGATATATAGTGAGTTCATTTACATACAAGTACTATTGTTTAACTTGAAGTAGTATAGATTCAGTCTATTAAGGGTCGCATGTACTGTACAGTAGTCCGCTTTGTTCTACTGTATGACTGTGAAACATGACCATTGAAAGTGAAGATATAAGAAGGCTTCAAGTGTTTGACCACCGTTCCGTGGTGTCACCACATGAATAATGCAGAAGTTAGGTGTAGAGTTTTAGGGAGTAGAGGTAAATCAATTGACGAGGTTATGAACCTTCATCGACTGAGATGGTTGGGACACGTACTACGTATGCTCAGTCACCAATTGCTTCATCATACAGTGTTGGCTGAAGTATGTCTAGGCTGGAAATGGCCCAAGGTGACCAGACTAAAACATGGCACCAATGTATGAAGTCTCTGACTGTTGGTTTAAGCCATTTGGGGCGATGGAGACTGGATGGTTGGAGACTCTACGTGATATGTCTCAGAACCGATGTCAGTGGCGCAGATGGATACACACACTATCCTCATCTTAACGATACTATACCGAATTTCACTATTTTGTCATTCCTCTTTTCCTTCTTCTCGTACTTTATATTTCTTCTGACTTCATTTTCTTATCTTCATCCTTCACCTCACTACCTTTCTACTTGATGTCCTGATATGAGGTGTGGCAACTCAAACCGTTACGCAGTAATGCCTGTTCCCAGGTTGATACTGATTGATTGATTGGTACCAGTTACCTAGTCTTTAGAAAGGATATGTTAAATGAAAGGACTTTTGTTTCAATGAAGCAAAATCACACTGTTCAGTAGATCTCACATCTGGAAGAGGAACTAAAAATTCCATTATGTGAATATACATGTATATAAACACATGATCCTGAAGGATTTTAGTTCGAGATACAACTTATCCAGGACTTACAAGATCAATTTTTAACAAATTCTGCCTTTCAGAGTAGGATTAAGTGCAGTGTAGTCTTATTTCAGTTGTCTACGGTTGAAAAGAATTTACGCCTAGTTAGTATAAACGATTACTGAATTCCATAAGCTTTTAAGACTAATTTTTGAGGTAATGAACAAAAGTTTTCCCTCATTTCAGGTAACTGTGCACCAGTACCTATAGTCAGTGATTAATTTATACAAGGTTCAAACTTGTTTGATAAACTTAAATTACCGGCAATCTTGAAGCATCAGCTCAGTAACCTATACCAGGTGATCGATTCGGTCCAGTCAAGGACGTAAAATTAAGAGCAACTACATCAAAACTATACGTACTACCCATGGAGCAGCTACAGTGGCTCAGTAGCCTAGTGGATAACACTCCGGTGATTGAAGCAAAGAATATTAGATTTGACTCTCAGTGAGAATAACAACGCTAACTGCGAGGCAGATACATCAGGCTGAAGAGTCACAAAAAACACTAAACACGCATCCTGGATTCCATCCATCATTAACTTGATAATAAAATGGTTTATTCCAAGGCAGTATTCATCATAGACTGACATAAGTTGGAGAAACATTGGAAACCTGGTAGCAGTCGACAGCGTTTTCATCCTTATGTGACATTCTTCGGCAACACCAACTAGAAAATCTATAAACAAATCCTAACAAACCATGAAAATAGTATATCTCAGTAGCAAACAACTCTAGCGATGGTATAAAATTCTTTTGACACATGATAGAGTGCTTGATTTCACCTTTTACGAACATTTAACAAAAGTTATTAGGCATAAAAAAATAAGGAACAAAGAAGAGTAGTAACTCATTGATTGATCACTTGAGAGTAACCAATCTCATGCTGTCTAGTTTTGAGTCCTAACTGAATTCTATTACATTGAATATTCCCATTTAGATATTTACAAAAAGACTGATTGAGCGAAGAAATATATTCCTTTTTAATTAGATCTTCATCTTCAGCTCTACTCTAATATATAGGTTTACAATTTAATCAAATTACCAATCACGTGATGATGTTTCGGAAATAATGATGTAAATAATCAATAAAGTTACTAAAATTGGGAATATGAATATTGATAAAAACAAAAAGGGGAAGAGGTGTACAAAGTAAACCTAGAAGTTACATCATGTTGACGGCATACGGTAATGAAAGTAGTCGAACAAACTTCTTTTGGATACAAAGGCTAGGTTTGTGAAGGTGGGTTGCAATCGCCTCTGACATGTGAAGTAACCGAGTGAGTAATCCATGAGGTAAATTAATTGGAATCTGATGGATGATTTTGAAGGCTTTTCTAGTAACCACTTGATGTCCTGTGTGTAAGTATGTAGCTCTTTATAGTTCTAATTTTTCCCTTGTTCAATCATGATGGGTGGTGCTGAGAGATTCGACGATGGAACTGCCTCATTGTACGCCCAATGTACCTAGCTCCACAGGAGCAGTTGAATTGATAAATGCACATGGAAGTGGCAGAATCAGGCAGTTTGTCTTTATTTCTTGCACCTAGAATCGGGCGGTTGTGCATCATTATTTCTGAAACATCACCACATGATTGGTAATTTGATTAAATTGTAAACCTATATATTAGTGTAGAGCCCAAGATGAAGACCTAATTGAGAAGGAATATATTTCTTCGCTCAATCAGTCTTTTTCTAAATTCTATCAGTTTTTTTGCAATGTGACCACCAAGTTAGGAGGTGCACTTTGATAGATGTCATTTAAAGGCATTCAGCTGGAAGTCTTGCATCACCTAACTTTCATGTTTATTGACGCTCTTCAGCAAGGCATATCTACAACCTCAAATAAAGTTATATCTCTAATGAGATTAAGACATATGGTAGTAAATACTCATTGAAAGCCTCTTTTTTTCTCCAGGCTTGACATTCTGTGATAAATATCCATTTTCTTGTTATTTAAATGGATCACTATAAGACTGTCAATAAACGCTAATAACTTTCAGTCACTCGAGTGGAACCCCTATGGGAAGCGACGAGTTGGGTGTCCGAGGTGAGGGTGACATAAAAGAGATCATGCGAGGAGGAGATGAGAGCTTGTGGGCAGTCATGGAGCCAGGTTGAAAAGATTACAGAGAATAGAATGGAATGGAGACGTGCTACTGAAGTCATATATTCCATTAGGAACCCAAGGGACAAATAATATAATAATAATAATAATATAATCAGTAGAATACAAAAGTATCATTTAAAGTGTTTTCATCAATAAAAACACTTTTATATATATATGTGTATAAATTCACTAACAATATGGAAAAACAATACTAACCCCAATATGGAGTGAATAAGAATGTGATACCAACTTCTGAATATTTTCTTGTTAATGACCATCCAAATGTAAACAATAATATGCCTAATAACATAGGCACTAAAACCATATTCGCTTTTTCAATCCATTTTATACCACCAAATATACATCCACCAACAATGAAAACAGCTAATGAATGGGTTAATACAGGCCAATAAGAATCCTAAAATAATTATAACCCAATAATACAAGGTGATATTCTATGAAAATTGATTTTTAGATATTAAAAAACTTATAAAATAACTATAAATTTTCATTTTCGATACATTTAACCTGGTTGTGGGTAGCTAGTCAAACAATTCGATTCGGTAAAACAACGGAGAATTACAAGCATATCAACAAATAATAGCTTAGGGGATAAGCACATTCGCGTTTGAAGTAATGGGTATGAGGTTCGAGTCTCAGTGGGAACCATATCACTACGCACTTGTGGATCACATACACCCAACTGAAGAGACCTGAGGAGGGCGAAATGCACGTCTTACATCTAAATATTCAGGGAATACTGAGGCATCCATTGTACAAGAGGTGGTTATCGTGTATCAGTAATCTGGTGAATAACGCTTTGGCTTTTAGTGTGATAAGTGCGAAGTTTGACTTTCTGTAAAAGCAACATCACCCACTGGAGTGCAGTTATATACAACTGACGAGTCCCAAACAGAACGAAACGTATGTCCTGGATTTCTCTGCTAGCCATAACCAAATAAATTATTATTCTGTCTCTTTTATTTTAATACAGAAACATTTTTTTAGATTGCCTTCATATTCATCTCATCATTAAATTGAGTTTTTCTTCTCCTGTTTAGGGCCTTTAATAATATTGAACTTTGAGGGAGTTGTGGGGATTTGGAAATATTTCAATTTGTTATTCATTGTGGACTGACATCAGTTGGAGGAACAAGGCAAACCTGGGAGCACTGGACAGCTGTTTCGTCCTAGTATGGGACTCCTCAGTACTGCGCACCCACGACCTTCAAGTTCCGTGGCCAGCACGTTACCTTTCAGCCACTGGGTCACAATCCAATGCTCCATATTTCCAACTTCTCTTAGCTCATGATATAGCGCAACCGCCACCCAATGTCATTGTTAAGTAATTGTTATCAAGACCATCAGGCTTTGACTCCACCGGTCATGACTTCTCATTGGAATACCTCTGAAAGCTAGTCACCAATGAGCACCAATTCTAACCCAGTGGCTCAATGGTAACCAGCTGGCCACGGAAACTGAAGGTCACGGATTCGATCTCTGGAGGGGTCGTGGGTGCGCACTGCTGAGGAGTCCCATACTAGGACGAAGTGGCTGTTCAGTGCTTCCAGGTTTCCTTTAATAATAGTTTAGTCCATTTGTTTTATCTAAGTTTAACTACAAAGTGTTTAGAACTACATAAACTACAACAATAAAAGTATGAAAGTTCTATCTAATCTTGTAGATCAAGTGAGAAAAGAACAAAAGTTAAAGAAGAGAAAAAGAAAATCATCAACATGAAAAAACATAATCTTACCCTTGCAAATGCATTAAAAATTTGAATACTTGTCTCTTCATCTTTTGGTAGACTTGATAAAGCACAAGATTTATAGAAATAGTATAAACACCAACCAACAATCACTGAAAAATAAGCACTATAATATAATAGAAAAAGTATAAAAAAGAGAATAAACATTGAATTAAACAATTACACATAGAAATAGATATTAATAACATTATACAATTTTATCATCATATTACTTTTCCCTTGGGTTCCGAGTTGAACATAAGGCTTCAGGAACACGCCTCCATTCCACTTGCTTCTCTGCAGTCTTTTCAATCTGGATCTACCAATACCCATAAGCTTTCATTTCTTCCTCACACCATCTTCTCAATGTCACCCTCCACTCGGACGCCCAACTCGTCGCTTCCCATTTGGATTCCACTCGACGACATGGTCTGGCCTGGCTCGTGATATCTCCAATCCGTCTTCTTAGTGTATGCCCAATCCAATTCATCTCCACTTCCTTCCGCATACTTGTTGAGCAACGGGTTCCTGGTTGATTCGTTGCCAACCAGCCAGCCAGCCACAGTTCCTCCTTGCTTATTCTTATTATTCTAACCATCTGATCTGATCTTCAGTGTCAGTATCCAGTGAGTGTGGGTGGCAGCTGTTGATGAATGTCTGTCATTTGTTGGAAGTGTTTTTCGTAACGCGTCAAGTTTGTGAACCATCACATAGAAGCACTGAATTGCTTGACTGAATTTGTGTTGAAAATCCGGATCTTTTTGTTTATGTTGAGTTGAGTGCAGTAGATTTCCACACTGATTATTTCAGATTGATGAAAGCCTGTCTTGCCGTCTTTCCAATTCTGGCTTTGACGTTCTCATCTGTGCCTGTGCCGCCTTTAGTTGGAATGATGCTGCATAGGTAGGTAAGTAGGTAGGTGAAAGAGACAAATTCCTTTAGGTTTCTCCCGTTAATAGTGGTCAGTGCTTGTTGTTCAAGCTATTGTTGATTGGGTATCTTCATCACCTCTGTCTTCTCTACATTCACCTGAAGCAGGTCCCGTTTTCGTTGCCCTGCCTCTTCTGCCAACCTGTTAGTTTCCGCCTGTAAATCTTCGAGTTTGTGCTACAAGACATCATCAGCAAAATCCGAATCTTTTCATCGGCCGAACAGCGTATGCCCATCTTCCCGCTTCTCACGGTTTGCTGCATGATTCAGCAGAGTCAAGTTGACCACAATCAGGAAGATGATGGGTGATAGTAGGCAGTCATGTCTTACTCCTGTCCCCTGTCTTCACTTCAGAGGCGTCACTGAGCTTTCCATTGTGGATCACTTGACAAGCGGCGACGTCATATAGTTGTTGAATGAGTTTAATAAAGATTTGTGACACTCCGTGGTGTTGAGGCAACTGCCTGCCAAATTACTTCTTGGTCGACGCTGTCAAAGGCCTTTTCAAAGTCGATGAAGTTGAGGTAGAGAGTTGACTGCCATTCTATACTCTGTTCTATGATAATGCGTAGTGTTGCAATTTTATCTGCCCGTAATTTGCTCTTCCTGAAGCCAAGCAGCCACCGTGTTCCGGTCGTAATCCAGTTGATTGCAGCGCATTGTTTAGTCTATCCAGGATGAAGCGGCTTAGTATTTTGCTTGCTTGAGGTGGACAGCAGCACGATTCCTCGCCAGTTTTTGCAAAGGCTTAGGTATCCATTCTTTGGAACATTATGCAATAGGATAGTTCAAATCTATAGTGAACAGAAATTTTCATTGAATCTAGTAAATAATGTAACCAGTTGAAATTAAATTGACTAGACACTCTACATTGTTCATCATTTGGTAATCAGTATTGATTGAGGTAAAATACTTGGAATCAATAGTAAGTAACCTAATGATACATAAAGAAGCTGTTAGATACAATTTCCTCTGGTTGACAATTACGGTGTATATTTATTTTTATATGAATTCTCATCTACCGTATGATGTTAATAGGGACAAAGTTAAAGTATTCTAGAAAGTCTAACTAAATGAAGTCATTCATGATGTAACTAAAATGGGTAGTTTTCTCTTTTTCTTCTCAATGCACACGCTATATTACGTCGGAATTCATCATGAACTGAGATATTGGAAAGTTAGGAGCATTGAACAGCTGTTTCGTCCTAGTATGGAACTCCTCAGTAGTGTGCGCTTATGACCCCAATCTCTAGGGCTCGAGTCAAGAACATTCAGGTTCCATGACCAGCACTGGGTTGAAATTCAATGGTTCATGCAATAGTTACAAACTTATCATAATATTTCTTACGTATAAATAAGAAATAATATGCCTTAGAAATGTTAAGTGAATATTTACGCATGATACATTCTCTTATTCGATATAGCTACATTTAGGTGACTTATACTGATATACTACAGACTTGGACAAGTTAAAGTAAGTGTAACTGAAAGTAAAACTGCGACCAATAAGAAAAAAACAAACAAACAGAAAACTACCTGTATCCAGATTTCAATATCTGGCTTGTTCAATTAGGATGCGATAGTGGTAGTAGTAGTGGTAGTAGAAGAAGAATATTCACTTCTTGTAGATTCAGCAACTTAGATTTTTGTGTAGAAATTTATTCAGAAGTCTACTTACGTGATCATGTAAGTTACAGCAACAATCCATCCTCCTAACCATACCAATTTATTGCCAAGAAATCTGTGAAATGCACCCAATGGAGATGTTCGAGTGAATCGACCCAATGTATATTCAACAATACTCAAAGGTAACGACCATAGAAATAAAGATAATACCCAAGCGATAAGAAATGTTAAACTTCCTAAAATATTTACCCAAAAAAAAAACAAATTTTTAAGGTATGAAAAACAATTTAAGTTATTGTTCATACTTCTATTGGTTAACATATGGAATAAGTATGAGTAGTCCGAGTACGTCGTTAAATGAGCTTAGCACTAGGAGAGTGAAATAGCTGTCAAGTGTTTAGATCACTCTAATCTGGTTGACGAAATCTATGCATCAGATTGTATATGTTCTAACTATTCAATTTGTTAAGTATTAGTATATATCTTTAGTTCATGACACTTTCAACTCACGTATAATCCACGCCTTATGATGCTGGTTAGGTGGTATCTAATGAAGAGGCTGTTGATATACTAGTTGGACATTTGAAAAACTATTTAGCTCTAACCAACTGACAAATATCAAGGTGAAGTGTGCAATTTGTATAGTCCTGTAAACATTTTTATTTAATAAAGTATTTAACACGATAATCTTACATTGAAACCTTCCTTCAGGAGGAAAAAACATTATTCAGTGAAAAGGATTAACTAATAACTTTTCAGTAAACGTTACAATCAAGCATATTTTTTGACTTTTGTTTATCATTTAACTCATTAAATGGGTACGCTGTCGAATGCAACATGTATATGTGATATATTCTCATATCAATAGAGGGTAGTTACAAGACTAACATATTACTCAACCAATAAACATAAAAAAAGTGGATTAATTAAACTTCAGGGTCACTAACTCATTATATTTTAATAAATAATGCATTAGGTAACGAAGAATAATTATTTTTTTGAATAAAGATATATCTCCCATACTAAGAATCGAGTCGAATTTGTTGTAAGGCCTGATTCTCAGAGTCTGACTAACTGACTGACAAAATCAATGCAGTGCATCCCCTCAAGTTGCCATACCATGCAGTAGCGAAAAGAATAAGTGAGTAGAAAAAGAGTAATATCAAAGTAGACAAAGTTGTATGGGAGAATAAACAACTTGTAAATAATAGTCAGTGCGGATATTCAAGCTTTGAAAGAAACCTGAGAGGGTATAGATCTGTCACCAAGAGTCCTCAACCATCGTCTCGGGGACCCTAGTCAGACAGTCTACATCCTCAGACAAGACCCAATCCAACAGTCAGAGACTTCAAGGAGGGGTAGGACATTGTAGTGCACCTTGCTGGCACCAAAATATAACTAGGGCTAAAATAAATAGTTTAAATTAAATTAACTAAATAAATCTCTAGCTTGCCTCCGGATGCTTAGGGTGTTTTAAGTTTTGTTTTAACGAGCATGCATCCGAGCAGGCTTGGACGCCATTTGGCGCTCCATTGTGCTGGTTACCACGCACGTATTTCGAGTCCCTAGTTCAGCCTTACAAGCCAGATAAGTCGACTAAACTCTTCCCCATTCATTATTATTACATTTACTTTAATTAAATACATTGCTCCTTTGATTTGTGTTTTGTTATCAGTACTTACACGTTAGGTAAAGTACTGGTTAAGCAGGTACTAGAGCACATCAAGTTAATTAGGGTTTATCAAACGTTACGAAATTGTAACACGTACCCCTACAACATCTTGGCCTGGCCATTCTGAACTCTCTTCCACCGTGGTCCAACTTCACCTAGAATGTTACATTGAGGTAGGCGGTGGTTGGGCCGTACATCACGACCTCATCAACCGACTCACCTGTCTTGCCTAGTAGCCTTCGCCTGACCATAACATTGCTCACATGCTGATTGCAACAAACATGAGCAATGGGACACCTATGATTAAAACCCTATTTTCAGAGTAAAATATCTTAAGCAGATATATACCACAGCATTTGGTCCTATCAATTAGAACACCTTAACTTATATAGTTTCATAGTGTGTTAACATTTAGTAACCGAACTTTTAATCAGCGAAATGGTTTGGTGAGAATGATGCAAAACAGTTGAATCATAACACTCACTAACCTTGAGAATGACTAGTTGTAGCAATTATGCGTGGAAATCGCCATATGTTACCTGTTCCTATGACACAACCAAGACACGAAAGTAACAATCCAATCGGGGAATTGAACGATGATAATTCAGCTTGCTCTGTGTGTTTAGAATATGCATTCTGTTTTTGCTCAGATGGTGGATGAGTGAACTAAAAGAAATAAGATTAAAAATAGGGAAAAAACATTATCCTCTTAGAAATAAATAATCCACTTATTGATAAATTATCAAAGATAAATGATTTTTAGATTATTACAGAAAAGATGAAGAAGCTAGATTATGTCTGCTGCTACTGTGGATATTAGTGTAGTATTGGAACGTAGAGAAGACAGAGGTGATGATGATACCCAACCAACGCCACCAACACCACCACCACCAACAACAATTTCCAATCACCATCAACGGGAGAAACTTAAAGGAAGTAGCTTCTTTCACTCATCTAGGCAGCATCATCACAACTACAGGTGCCAGTGGAACAGATGAGGACGTCCAAACCAGGATCGGAAAAGCAAGACAGGCGTTAATTAACCTGAAATCAGTGTGGAGATCGACTGCACTACACTCAGCATAAAGCGTGAATAACATCCGGATTTTCAACACTAATTCAGTCAAGCCAGTGCTTCTATATGGTTCAGAGAGTTGGCGCATTACGAAAAGCACACCCAACAAACTACAAATATTCATCAACAACTGCCTACACTGGCTCGTTACTGAGGCTGAGATCAGATGGTTAGAATGATAAGAATAAGCAAGGAGGAACTGTGTCTGGCTAGCTGGCAACGAACCAACTAAGAATCCATGACGCGCCAGACCAGGTATTTGAGTGGAACCCAGATGGGAAACGATGAGTTGAGGTCGGAGGCTAGGGTGGAGTGGAGTAGATGGTGTGAGGAAGAAACGAGAGGTTGTGGGCAGTGGTGGAGCCAGGTTCAAGAGATTTCAGAGAAGAGAGTGAAGTGGAGACGTGCTACTGAAGCCGTATGTTCCACTAGGAACCCAAGGGACCAATGATAATAATCAGGATTGTGATGAAATCCAACAAAGCACAGATATCAATATTCAGCTTCTTCACTAGCTCAATTTTAGAAAAGGTGTATATTAGCAGAAATTCCACATAAACTTTTAAGTAATTTACTATATGTATATTTACCTGATCAGTAGATGCATGAAGTTTTCCTGAACCATACTCTACAAGATCCATATCTGATTTATAAGTGGGATCATTCAAATCCACTGATTTTGACTTCCAAAATATAATACGATCTTTACATATTACTCCACCCATTGTCAGAAAACTAACTTCAACAAAATGATAATTTTGTAAGTAAGCAGATACTAACGGACTCAATGTACAAGTGAATATCACAGTTCTGTTGTCTGCTATTTATCATGATTTCTAGCGTGTAGAAAGACTTCTGATTTGTTATAGCATAAATGGACCAGTGGTTTCAAAGATGTATGTCCGTAATTAGAAAATACACCAATGAGATTCATTGCTGAAGGTCAATGGAAAATTCAGTAGATGGATAGACATGTAGAATGATTAAATGTTAGGAATTAGGAAATAATATACATGATGTACTAAAGTAGTGTGTGTAATTTCGAAATTATCGAAGTAGATTGGGAATCAGCCCAATTTATTATGTATCTAAAACCAATTCATATCATTTTGTGAAGCATGTAAACTTAAGACAATTCCAGAAGATATTCATTGAAATGACAGCTTAATTAAGTCATAAAAAAATAACATGTCACGTTTGTTTTCAAAAGAAATTGAATGTAGATCGATAGAGACGATTGATATGTATGTCAAGTCAATCTGTAATGACAGTAAATTTAGGTACCATGTTATACTACCAGATCTCATATAAACATTGATTAACTGAAAAAAATTCAATGGTGACTATATTAAGACAGATGAATATCATCTCAAAATGTTGGTACAAGCCATGCTGACAATATAAGATTAGAGATTCTTGTTGATATAACCTTCATCTATTTCAAGTTGTTATTCATCAAAGACTGACATCAGTTGGAGGAACAAAGGAAACCTGGGAGCACTGGACAGCTGTTTCGTCCTAGTATGGGACTCCTCAGCAGTGCGCACCCACGACCCCACCAGCAGGGATCGAACCCGCGACCTTCAGGTTCCGCGACCAGCGCGTTACCATTGAGCCCCTGGGTCACAATCCAATGCTCCATATTTCCAACTTCTGTTAGCTCACGATATATTTATTTGTCCTATTTTCAAAGGCTCTTATGTTGCCTAATATTCGTCTAGTTCTCTTTATTTCTTCCTTGTGTGCTAGTCCTGAATATGTCGAGAATTTCATCATCATTAATCTGTGCATAAGATTTTGGAACTGGATAAAATGTCTGTTGAAGAATTATTAGGGGTTACAAATCGATTTTTTTTTTATTCAAGATTATCTATCACATACAGCAGTAGTCATTGTAGAATGTAGGATAAACTCAACCTTATGATAGGATGAGTATGATAACTGTTTGACAGTTTCTGAGCTATGATTTTGAGTAGTAGATGTTGTATAATCACTTATTTCAACTAGGAATGAAGAATTTCAGTTTCGTTATTATGTAAATGTAGTTTATTCATGGTCATGAAAGGCGCATGATCACTATTCAACATTCAATACACATTGAACAACTAGTTTGATTAAATTTTAGGCCTTTGACAGTGTTGACAGAAAAGTAATTTGTCAGGCAGCTGCTTCGACACTACAGAATAGTACAAACCTTTATCAATCTCATTCAACAACTATATGAAAACGCCAAATGCCAAAGAATTCATAATGGGAAGCTCAGTGACGCCTTTCTAGTGAAGTGAAGACAGGAGTAAAAGAAGACTGTCTACTATCACCCATCATCTTCCTGATTGTGGTCGACTGGATCATGCAACAAACTGTGAGGAGCGAGAAGATGGGCATACGCTGGACGGCGGAAAGGAACCTAGAAGATTTGGATTTTGCCAACGATGACTTATGTCTAATGTCACACAAACTTGAATATCTACAGGTGAAAACTAACAAGTTGGCAGAAGAGGTAGGGTAGGGTAGGGTAGCGAAGACGGGACTTCAAGTGAATATAGAGAAGACAGAGGTGATGAATACATCCAACCAACGCCACCATCACGAACAACAACAAACTCCAATCACCATGAACGGGGAAACTTGAAGGAAGTAGCCTCCTTCACCTACATCTATCTACACAACATCGTTTCAACCACAGGTGACACAGGCACAGACGAGGACGTCAAAGCCAGCCAGGATCACAAAGACAGCAACACAGGCATTCATTATCCTGAAACCAGTGTGGAGATCTTCTGCAATCAGCATGTGGAACAAGATCCGGATTTTCAACACTAATTCAATCAAGTCAGTGCTTCTATATGGTTCAGAGAGTTGGCGGAATACGAAAAGCACTCCCAACAAACTACAAATATTCATCAACAACTGCCTACACTGGCTCGTTACTGAAGCTGAGATCAGATGGTTAGAATGATAAGAATAAGCAAGGAGGAACTGTGTCTGGCTGGCTAGCTGGCTGGCTGGCAACGAACCAACGAGGCAAGAACCTATGACTCAACAAATATGCGGGAGGAAGTGGAGATGGATTGGATTGGACATACACTGAGAAGGTCGACTGGGGATATGACGCGCCAGACCAGGCATTTGAGTGGAACCCAGATGGGAAGCGATGAGTTGGGCGTCCGAGGTGAGGGTGATATGGAGTAGATGGTGTGAGGAAGAAATGAGAGGTTATGGGCAGTCGTGGAGATAGGTTCAAAAGTGTGAGGAGAACAGAATGGAATGGAGGCGTGCTAGTAAAAACGTATGTTCTACCAGGAACCCAAGGGACAAATAATAATAATAATATTATAATAAGAAAGCATTTTATCGACTATATTACATTAGACTGCTCCTTTTTCAAAAACTTGTTTAAGCCATTCAGATATGAACACATCGTAAAACATACTCTAATGTACAACTCATCGTTAGATGGGTTAACAACAAGATTATAGGAAAATATCATACTAGACAGCATTTGATCCTTTAACGTACCATAGAGCATCATATGGCTAATACAGGGGAATAAGTAGTTAGAACAGAAAATTATGTTACTGCATGTATGAACCTCTATCATCAAGTTTACGTGGGATTTTCTATCCGACTCACGAGTAACAACCTACAAACTAGATGATACTGTAAAAATTGGTGATTGTTGTGGATTACTGCCTATCATACTGTTATTATTAACATTATTCAATTTCTATTGTGTTTTAAACTTGAAAATATTGTACAAGTAATAAATTTGTTGACGAATCACACTGAGAATTATAAACTATACTGAAAGATATTGTCAAGAATTAAGTGAATGTTATTATTACTTTTGGTTGGATAGAGTTAATGGATAATAAGCCCTGTAGCACTTGGGTTTCTTGCTTGTTGGTACTCATTAGCAAGGCGTATTTGCAACCTCGATAGAGTTGATGTCTCCGGTGGGATTCAAATCCTTATCACTTAGTACTACAGAAAGCGATGTTACCATTGAGTTGTTCAGGCCACATTTGGCCTCCTGTAAGACTGGATTAGATGTATGATTAGCCACTGGAAAACACAAAGATCAATGGTAATCGGTCAGCACTTACGACTACAGTAGATGGAGTTGGTTGCCCTTCACTAACCAATAAATATGCATCAAACAATGATCATGGTATGTACTGTGCTACTTTGGAGCAAGGACAATATACTTGTCAGAGATAAGAAAGTTTTTAGTATAATTGTTTTTTATATCATACCGTCTCTGTTGGCATGTGAGCTCCTGCGCGGATGCCTCGATATCACCCGAGTCCGAATTTCGGTGGGAACAACATCACTCACTGGGAAGCAGGTACATCGAGCTGACGAGTCCCAAATAGGACGAAATGCGCATCCTGGATTCCACTGCTAGCCACTACCCATCATTAACATTCAAAAGTTTTTGAAAATTCTATCCTTTAACAATATGACACAAAAGTTACTGATGGGCGTATCTCTATCCCTACACTACTGATTATTTAGACGTCCAAAGCATTGAATAACTAACAGAATCAATGTAGAACCAAACAAAAACTTGTATTCCGTCAAGTTGCCATACTTCATAGTAGTATGCAGAGAAAAAGTGGGTAGAAAGGAAGTGATATCAAAGTAAATAAAGTTGTGTGTGAGAGAATAAATAATTTGAAGATAAAAGTTTGTGTGGATATTTAAGGAGGGAATACATCTCCACCAGTGTGACCAGTTTTCAGTTATCAACCATCGATTCTTTTCGTCTTGAAAACCTCAGACAGCCAGTCTGTATCTTCCAACACAACTCAAACCAAGAGTCATGAACTTCAAGAAGTGATGGAATGTATTAGTCTAGCCACTCTGAACTCTCTTCCAACCTTATCCAACTTCCTCTGTCATGGTATGTCAAGTTAGGAGGCAGTGGCTTGGCATGCTTAGCACGTGTTCAAGCCATCTTTTATGAGTTTCCTGACTTTTTATGTATGTTTCCATGTGAATCCGATACAGAACAAAATAATGGTTTATAGGACTGTTCACATAAGTATGAGCTAGCTTTCCATTCACTGTTTTAAGTTAATCCTTATTTAGTAAGTCTAAGTTTAACAAAATGAAAGAATTTTAATTTATGTTCATGTTACGTAACTGATTGCAACACTATGTGTAATACATATTCTAATCTCACAGTACAAATCAGTTTCTCCGAGGATAGCGATACACTTTAGTGATAAATGCCAACAAACACCAAATTTAGGTCAGATACAGTTTTCTATTGATTGCCTCCAGTCAACTGATATCGATTACATAATATATTACCACCGTGTTGTCAAAACGTTTACTGAGGATTAGAGAGAGACGAAAAGACAGTAGGAGAAGGAGGGAGTATCGAATACTCAACTATAGTTCATTCGTTTTGATCAAATCATGCAGTAATTTATCAATTAGGCTATTATTATTATTATTTTTCCCTTGGGTTCCTAGTGGAACATACGGCTTCAGTAGCACGCCTCCATTCCACTCTCTTCTCTACAGTCTTTTCAACCTGGATCCACCACTACCCACAAGCTTTCATTTCTTCTTCACACCATCTCCTCCAAGTCACTCTCACCTTGGACGCCCAACTCATCGTTTCCCATTCGGATTCCACTTGACGGCCTGGCTTGGCTCATGATATCCCTAATCCGGCTTCTCAGTGTATTCCCTATTCATCTCCACTCACTTC